ATAAATACATCATTAATGGATCCAGATATAATATGTTCGCTTTTAGGTCCGAAAAAAGAACCTTAATTTACTGTAATCAACCAACAAAAGGCATGAGTAATTAATTAAATATTAATAAATAGGAATTATTTAAAGCATCGCTTCTCTCAACTATACTAGCAAGTTCTAAAAGTGACACTTCTATAGAAAGCTTTTTTTTTTTAAAAAAGAAATCTCTTATTATATCAACACACACACAAAAGTTAATTAAAAAGTGTATCACCGAATCCTGTTTTTGTATATTATAGCATAGTTTTTCTCTCTTTGAATGCGCATAAAGAAAAATGTTTAAGAATTAAAAAGATCTATAGTAATCGTGAATAAAAAATAATGTAATTTTGCATTTTATGTATAACCTACACGATAATTGTTTAATCTTAGAATTCTGATACGCATGGCTGTAACATCCAGATGACGACATTGTTGATCTATTAAACAGGACTAAGTCATGGTTATTACAGGAAGCGAGAATTTCTGTCCCGTTATAATTATATCTAACAGAAGTTACAAAGCCATCATCCTCTTCTTAGCTTCTTAGTATATTCCCCGGGTTTGGTTTTCCGACCTCATTTTTGAGGAATCACAGTACCATGCGTATCAATTTAACTTTAGAGCCTCTTCGGGGAGCAAAGGCTCGCTTATGTTTTTGCATTTGCGTATGTTTTTTCATTATAAACCTTTTTAGTAATAGACTTAATACTACTTAAAACGACATACTAAAAAATAATTAGGTCATATGTATTAAGTCTATTACTAAAAAGGTTTACAATGAAAGCAATAGAATAATATAATTTGTTATTACATACAGTGAGTGCAAAAAGTATTTGTATAGAGAAAATATTTTTTAAAACAACTTTATTTTTAAAAAGTAAATATCATTCAGCGAGAAATGAGTCATCAAACTGATGTCGAATCGATACCGATACGATGATTTCAATACCAATTCGACGTCGATTCGACGTTTAATTGACGTTCATTTACTTGCTAGGTAATTAACAATTTATTCATAAAGAATGAAATAGACTGTATGTTTCTTAATATTCTATATACCAAAATGATGTGTATTAATTATACAAAATATATCATCAAAAAAATAAACTAAAATTAAAAATTGCATTGTTTGAATGCTCAAAAAGTATTTGTATAGACGAGAAATTTAGCTTCTAAAATCAGGAATGTATGCGAAGCTCGGTTGTTTATATTAGAACAGATATTTATTGTATAAAATTGCTAATTAATGTTTATTTTCTACAAGTAAGGCTTTTTTTAAACAAATTTCTTTGTACGGATACTTTTGCTCTCACTGTATGCGTTTAATTACATATATAACTTAAATGTTTCAGGAAGATGATGGCTTGGGACGTCGGCCGAGTGGCTCGCCGCTCAATGCGATTGACTCGTGATCTATAGATCCGGGTTCGATCCCATTTTTGCGCCACATATACGCAATTTCTCGCGTTCGCCGTTCGGATTCAGGCTCAGTAATATGCTGCTCCGTTTTCAATGCATCCAATTCTACCTATGTAGATAGGCGATTGCTTGATACAGCAATTGAACGCATTGAAAACGGAGCATATTACTGAGCTTGAGGCGGAGTTTAGTAATCTCGGCGTTGAGGAGGTGGTACCTACGCGCTATCTACGCTCCCAACCAACCCAAGGGAACAAGAAAATCAAGATAATGTCAATTTGACGCCATATTGACGAATTTATATATGTCATTTTTTGATCATGATAAAAATCTCCATCTCATATGACCTAAGAATGACTTTATATATATATATATAATTTTTATCATGATTTTTATCATGACCAAAAAATGACATTATTTTGATTTTCCTGTTCTCCTTGGGAGAGTTCGGTATCGTCTTCTAAAAAACCTTGGTAATGTCCAGTTTGATAATGTTCTTGTTGTCTGGCTTTTATTATGATAAAAATTTGTTAAAAATTTCACAAGTAGGTATATAATAATCTTCTCAAATTTTTATACATATAGTCTGAAATAATTAAAAAATCTGCAGTGAGGACCTCAACAACCCAGGTTGCGGAATATAAGCAAAAATTTCATATTGCTGTTAAAGGGTTAAAAAATGATATTTCAAAATTACTAGTATAGTATATTAGCATCATATTAAAATCTATTCTGTAAATATGTTAAATAAATAAAAAAAAAACGAGGATCTCTCGGATAAATAAAATCAAGTTGCTATTCGTTTAAGGAGGTTGTAAGGGCATAAAACACATATATTAATATTTTCGCTTTAAACAAACTACATACATGTGAAAGTTGTGTTCATAACATTCTGGTTTTATTGAGCAACACATTTTTATAGGTTATTTATTTTATTTGTTATTAGTTTTATTGTTATAAACAAAAATTGTTAAAATAATAAGAAAAATCTAAATGTTTTTATATAAATATATTGAGTACTAAACATGACTTATGCAAAGTTTCATTGAGATTCACCATTAGTTTATAACAAATAACAAATTTTATTTATTTACTGAACAATTAATGTCTGCATCTCAAGATAACTTTACAAAAATATTGTTGAATTCCTAGAGTATTTATATTAAAAAATTAAGATTTTTATCATTATTTTATAATACGTTTTCATATATTTATATTAGAATACAAATTAAAAAAATATTACTACTTATTTAAATAACTTTTGATCCAGATGGTTTGATCAATTGTTTCTATTTTTTTTTGTATTATTATTAAATGAAATTTAAAATAGTCTGTAATTTTTTCAAATAGTTCTTAACATATTGCATTTGCCTTATAACCTCCTTAAGAATCAAATCAATGGCGCCATCTAATGAGAAAAATATTTACCATTTTTGTTGGTAATTACAAACGTCGATATCTTCTTCAGAGAAAATTGCTAGTTACTTTATCGACCATCTATAATTTCATTAAAGTTATATTATTTCATAGAAAATGCATAAATTCAAAAATTTTTCAAAAATTGCATTTCTAGGAATTTGGAATTTCAAATTGGAATAATTAAAAATCTTAAAAGTTGACAAATTAGGAGAATATAATTGGCAAAAGGAGATTTCACTAACTAAAATCTAAAAGAGTTTTCTTAGTTTCTAAGAATTTTCTATATTTCCAAAAATTTTTTAAAACAAAATAAACCAACAGACAGTTTAAATTAAAAATTTATAGATATTTTCATTGAAGTTTTATATTATACAATATTTTATGATATATATTGCGTATCTGTTTAAGAGAAAGAATTATGTATAAAAAGTATTTATTTTAATAATGACCACTTGAGCTGTTCTTTAGCTGATTGCAATACCTAGAACAAAATAACAATTCTTGTCAAATATGTGAATCGAAATTGTAACTTGTAACTTGAGAAAAAGAAATATATCAAGATGAGATATACCTGCGCTACTGTTTGTTCTCCAAGTGGAATGTCATCAGTTCGCAGTGCTACCCTCTGCACTACACTCGTCGCGTCCGCATCCAAAATTATACTAAAAAGATAAATTATTATTTTACTGTTATATTACATTGATTGAAAACTAACTAAACGTTCTATTTACCCGCCATCGCAAATTTCATCCATCGCTAGCATTACTATGTCCAAGCTATCCAGTACCGCTCTCTTCTCCACATTCTTTCTGAGGATCGAGCTAACCGAGTCGTACAAGCAGTTTAGGACACTCATTAAGATCAACTGAAACAAGTCCAATAAATTAATGCTCCATGATAATATTCAAAATACTTGACAGAGTTGTGTAATTATACAAACTTCATTTTCATGTGAGCTGCCCATAACATAGAAAAACAAATCAACGTTACTTCTGTAGACGCAAGTCAAACCATCTAACATGATGATCTCTGCATTTGCTCGGTGTGTTTTACTAAACAGATTTTTCTCGAAGGTTTTTTGCTCCTTTGATGTTGGAAATACATTTTTATCATAGTACTTTGCCAGTATCCTGTTGCCATCATTGTCAAGGATGGCCATTCCTTTCACTGTATACAACGTAGGCTCCTAAAATTATTTTCTGAATTCAACTTCGTGAGTAATAAAACTACACATATCTTCACAAACGAAAAACATAGTAGAATATCTAATAGAATATGTATACAGTGCAAGATTTTGATTAATATTAAGCAGTCCGAAATCATATCAATGTTTTTTTTTCTTTTCTCTTTCTGTGTCAAGAATGATGCAAAAAAATAAAACTGATAAGATGATTAAAAATAAAAATCGATTTTACCATATGACTCATTTGAAATTGAGTTAGGAATAAGTTAGTTGTGCCACGTTTAGGTTATGTCAAGCAACTTCAAAATATTTACTGCGGTTTTCTCGTGCGAATATACCACAATATATTTATCACGAATATAAACTTCAAGGTTTTTTAATTGACATGTATAGCAATATAATTGACATTTGTCTTAAAAACCTACCAATGGTTGACCATCCATGTTTACGTCAAATTGATTTTGACGTGTCCAGAAACCAGAGCCAACTACTTAAATATAAATTTCCCTAGAACAATGTTCATAGGGAGAAAAAAATTTCTATTACAATTCTCGATTACTTAAATATTTTGGGTGGCACCCAGTTGGACACGGCTCAATTGGACACGAGCCACTCACAGCGCTTGAGACTACAAAGCTCTCCTAAGCACCGGTCGCTGTGATTGGTGGTGTCCAATCGAGACGTGGTCAATCGAGATCACTCCAATATTTTCTTGTAATATATATTTTCATGAATCTTATTTAAATTCTTTCGAATATTCTAACAATAGTATATTATTTTAATATTATTACAATATCCCAACATACATGTAAAAATATTTTATATAATACATATAAATCATATATGCATTATAATATTGTATATATTATTAAATTTTATTATATAAAATGTAACTTTATGTGATAAATATACTAAGAGATTATATTTATAACATATATGTACATGCGTGTGTAGCGATCTTTAACTAGAGACACAGCGTCATTCTTTACTTATTGTTAGTTGCGGAAAAAGGCACGGAGCATATTTCTCTTCGACGAACACTAATCCTTCTTTAGAATCTTCGTAAGTTTGCGGAAGAATTCTGGTCCGTTCCAGTAACCTCTGTATATAAAAACTGTATATACTAATATGTACAAAAATTTACCTAAAGATTGCATATGTATACATCTATCTATTTAAATTCTCACCTCAACATTAAGTGCCAGTATATAAATGGAAATAGATATTTCTTTAGCAAAAACATGATGTAAAATTCTTTGCCTTGATTCACTGGAAAAGTTTCTTTTGGTTGTAAATTATAGTCAAACTCTGCTAGAATGCACTTGCCATAGCCAGTAACTAATGGACATGATGCGTAACCATCATAAGCCATCATCATTGGTTTGCCAGCCAAATCATCCAATATATTCTGGTACAACACTTTTCCCTGTGCAGCTATTTAACAAACGTGATATAAGTGTGTAATCACGATATTTTACTGTTTCTTAAATTTAAAATATATTATTTCTTTACCTATTGCAGCCATTGTCTTAGAATTTGGTGTACTTGTGCAATCACCTATGCCAAATATATTTGGATATTTCGTATGTCGTAGCGTTTTAGAATCAACGCAGAGAAATCCGGCTTCATTAGTCAATCCTGGATGTTTTTTCAAAACTGTAGGTGGTCCCATTGGAGGCGTCACATGGAGGAGAGAATACTAATACAATATAACAAGAATATTAAATTTATATCAGTAATATTTAATCCTTTATCATAGATAAAATATATTAATTATATAGATGAAACATACTTCCTGAACTAATGTCTCTCCCGGTGAGTTTAATTTCTGAAACGTGGCCTGTCGTTTGCTCGGGTCTATCTTTACCAGATTCGTTTGAAGATTGACAGTGATGTCTCTTTGTTTACAAACGCCCCAGAGAGAATCGGCGTATTTTTTAACTCCAAATATAACTGGCAACGCAGTGTTATATACAACGTCAATGTTATTTCGCAATTTGTGCTTCAAGCAAAAATAAACAATTAATTGAAAATTCTTGCAAGTTAACATATAATATAATAATTGTACAAGCATACATTGCGGTAATAATCCTCAGCAATATAGGCAATCTTTTGAGGTGCACCTGGGCATTTAACCGGAGTATTCGGTAACGTGAATATCGCAGTTCCTTGTCTAGTGTTTTTTATTTTCTGGTAAACATGGGGTACAGTGTCGGGCCCATAAATAGAACATACTTGTGCATCAGGATCATATACACTGTCCAACAGACCTGGAATCTGTGAAAAATATTTGTGCATCATTTTGTAGGTATATTATACAAATTCAGTTCAGTCACTATCTGATGTCTTACTTTATCCCAATACAATTGCAAACCAAGTGCAACGATCATAATGTCATATTGTATAGTATCTCCATGATGTATTGACACTTTGTTAGTATCTGGTTGAAATTCGACGACGGAAGTTTTCAACCATTTCGCTTTCTTTGGCAAAACATCTTTCATATACTTTTTCGATGATGCATAAGAACTGATACCACCACCAACCAAAGTAAACAAGGGTTGATAATAATGTACCTAAAAAAATGTTTTAAAATTGTTCAATAAAAAAATATATAATGATTTTTATTTATTACTTACATCATTGGGTTCCAACACGATAACTTGCTCTGGATTATTGATCTTTCTTGACAGTTTTGCAGCCATCGAACAGCCAGCGGTACCGCCTCCAACCACCAGGATTTTGCAGCTAATACAATATATTTGTGTGTATGTTAAACTTAAATAAGTATTCATAGTTGATTCTTTCATTTAAGATTGACTAAGTACAATCTTAAGATGTCATGGATCAATTAGAGAGCTATATCAGCATTTTAAGACGTTATTTAAGATGATCTTAAAACAAGAATGGACTATGAATACTTAATAAACGACTCATTTTCTGCTCATTATCAGTGAAACAAATTGTACTTACGAATGATGGATTTGCCTACATTCATTTCTAAGCGACATACACCTTGACAACGATGTAAGATTGCGAGACAACAGTAGATGAGACATGATGTATTCTAAAAGTCAATTATGTGATTCTGTATAGAGAATAAATACGATTCAAGTGCCTGTAAAAAATTTGTTCAGGATACAAGATATGTGTGACATGATAAAAAAAATGTTAACCCAAAGCCAGTAGGCCGATTAACGATTCGAGACATCCATACCTTGTTTACATACGATCGAATCTATTGTTCTAGGTTAATTTCTTATGTTCGTTCGTCATCCATATCCATTTTGTAATATTGCGAACCACTCGAGAAAAAAGATTAATCGAAAATTATAGCTTCGAAAGTACGCCGTCCACGTTGCAATACGTGACGTCTGGTGCATTATCACAACGAGCGAAAATTTTTGCGACCTTGGAGGACCTCTTCTCGCATAAAGCAGATTCACAGATGCAGACACGGGACCTTCGAGGGCTTTGAGGGCG